ATCTTACTGTGAAGAACCCCCTGCGCCCCTTGAGCTGGAATTTTTTTCCCACCAATTTTAGGTTATGGCCTCTAGTTTTTGTAATGGAGTTAATTTTAAACAGTTTATCGCTAATGTTGCTACCACCATTGAACATTTTGTACATGGAAATCATATCCCCCCTTAATCTCCTCACCTCCAATGTGAACATTGTGAGAAGGAAAAGTCAAGTAGAACCATTGACTACGAAGTAAGAAGCAGAGTGTGAGGCTGTATGAAGAAAATACGGCTACGCTCATGTTCATATGTAATTACAAAGTAAACACAGAAACACCTTTTTTTTTTAACATGCATTGTTTACATCAAGCTAATCTCTTTTTCATCAATAAAATATAAAAAAATACTATACCCTCCCTTTAACGTGAACGTGTTCTTTGCTCATACTGAGCAAAGTATCAGGTTCTTGTTACTTTAGGGGCCCTTAAAGTGACACTGAACTCAGGAGTTAAATCTCAAAAATGCATTAAAGTACCATAACTAGTAACAAAAATGTATCTTATTTGTGGTTTAACCTCAGATCATCTCTGAATTCCTGCTGACACTGTCCTTCCTTCTGGAGGGTGGCTACTTTTGTTCCGAATGTTTAGTTTACTCATTTGTATTGATATTGTAGTCCATCACAGTAGCAAGCTTGGAGTGGTGGCTACTTTGCAACACACACAGGGACCATGAGGAACAATTCAGAGATGATTTTAGGATCTACAGCTGAGTGATACACAAATAAGATAATTTTTGTTAATACTGAAGGTACTTGAATGCATTTTTAGGATTTAACTCCTGAGTTTAGTGTCACTTTAATAATCCTCCATGCATTTCCCCTTCTCTACTACAGACACCAAATGCTACTTTGGGGATGAGTTGGGATGGTGTAATTTTTTTTCTTAATGAACTTAATGGTTTGTTAATGAACAGTTCATGCAAGAGCAGGTGGAATATAAGTAATGTTATAAACCTATTACTTTGCCCTGTATAGGTCTGTGTTCTACATTTTTAATAAATATCCTAAACATTTAAGCTGGTATAATGGGTTTTAAATGATTCCAGTCTAACTGTTAAAATTATTCCTATCTTTATTTTTTTTTCTTTCTGATCCTTGCCTTGTTAAGATTCAGTAATTATAGTATGCGTGACCTGGCAAGATCACTTATTTCTTTGGAATTTAAAACTATTTATGTCCTTGCCATCAAAATATCTGAATTGTTGAAACCTGATTTAGCGTTTGTGCACTGATTTGTTTAAATATTTTCTATCCTTTGTACTGGAAAGCCTATTAGTTTTTTTTTAAATTCTTTAATCAGGAGATTTCAAAACAACTGAAAAAAATCAACTGATATATAATGGGGTGGTCATAATAATCTGGCCACTCAGCGTATAGCCATATAGTAGCCTTATAGTGTGTACCCATTTAGGCTGTGGTGTTATTACTTGCTTAATAGACAGTCTCTTCATAGGAATGAATCATAATTTTTCCATGCATGTGCTGAAGTGACGGACTGGCCAGAGAGTTTGTTGTGGCGACGTCCTGTGGATCTCACAGGAGCGTGGACAGGTTAGTATAAAATTTGGGGGTTGTTAGGAGGGAGTAGGGAGAGGGTTATCTTAAAGGATAACTAAACCAAAGTGTTGATATAATTTAGGAGGCTACAGCAGGAATATCTAGACCTCACTTCCTTTTGTAGAGTCCCTGGTGGGTAAAGATATGACAAGTCCAATTATATGCAAGCCTCAAATAACTGTGGCTAAAATGTAGAGACAACCATTACCAAATAACAGAAAGAGACCTCAGATGTTTAACTTCACAGTAAATGGTTATTATTTTATTTCTTATAATATAAATTCTTCAATGTAAACTACAGAGATCTGCATGTATGACATCATACTTATATCCAGATATGTTTTACTTTTACTGGCAGTTCTGCATTAATTCCTGGAAGGCTTGCATGATCAGCCCTGTGACTTTAATGACGGCATTACCTGACAAACAAAAGTTGTAGTCAAAGCAGACCTAAAATCTTACTTATCTCTTACAGCCTAGGAAGGTGCCAGCTTAGCCTCTGTTTGGAGTGCAATTGCCATGGTCCTTCACATGTAATTGGCTATGACAACAGCTATTTGAGTTTGGTTGAGAGCTGAAGTTAGCACACTGACAACCTTAACAATTGGCATACATTAAAGTACGGTAACTGTTTTGGGAGACATTAACTTGATGGGTAAAGTTTCTCTTTAATTGATTACTTTATGATTTAAGTACTGATTAATGAACAAGGCAATACTTATACAAGATACCCTGGTATCAACATTAAAACATTGCATGTAGAAATGCAAGAAAATCAAGTATTTGCATTCCTACTTGTAGCATTTTTCATTTCTATGAACATTTTTTTATTGACTTGCAATGTGCCTCTGAACTTAATTTGATTACTTCAGTAAGAGTCAATTTCATTGGACGGCCCCCTCCCTCATAGCATTTCTCATTACATTCTGTGCTGGCCCAGCTACCCCCAGTGCTATTTGAGTGACAGCTCTCAGTCTGCTGGAGCTAATGATATCACATCCAAGATGGCGGCACCCAGCAGCAGTCTAAGGTCTTTAGGGCTTCTACACAAGGGAGACAGTTACATGTAAGTAACATGCTGAATATGCATTTAATGCACACATACAGGGTTATTCACGAAGGAGCCAAAGGATTCAGCTGTAGCTTCGGCTGATCCTTCTGCTCTCTTTGGCCGCCTGAGCCCTTGGGTTCCAGCGAACTGAAGGGCTGCTGTACGGGCTATTCACAATATCCCGTACAGCAGCCGAAAGCGGCCAAGCAGCCTGCCAAAGCACTTACAATCATCGTGTTTCCAAACAGCTCCAACTCTCTGAGCTCAGCTTCCCTTAACTTCCTGTCCTGTATAAGATTAAAATGGACAGCACAGTCCATCTACTAACTTGGAGAATTGGAGAAAGGAGAGGGAGAGCATCGGAGTGTCTTGCCTTCTGTGCCTACGTGTTTGCGGAGACACACACGGGTGGCATCTTTGGACCCTGCAAGGGAAAGGAGCCACCCTAAAACAGGATATCAGGGGCACTGCTCAGGGGATCAGATGATTCTCAAAAAATTAAAACTTTTAACTATCAAAAAGCAATATCAATTGTAAGTGATTTCATCAGCATTGGAAATAGCTTAAAAACCTTTTGACTTTAATATCACTTTAAATATAGTTTCTATCGCCATTCAGGTTTATAGCTCTGTGTCTG